GGGACCTCTGCATGAATCTCTCCTTGCTGTCCGTTCTCTGTCAGTTTTCTCACTCCATTTGGTGCTTGGCTGAGTTCTTTATCTCTTCTTTTGATGTTTTAGGGTTTCAGGATTGTTGTATTCTCTGTTCAGCTTAGTTTTTCCAATCTTTGCTGTGGAGGGATGGTGTGGTGCTTCTTCCTACAGTGCTATTTTGCTGGAACTCCCACAGCAACTTTTTGATTTCATAGGAAAGTGACATGGAGGATGCTGAGCAATCAATTTGTTGCAAAATCAGATTATCCAGGAGGAAAGAAATAAAAATAGATTGGAAAGATCTTTCATGTTACGGTACTGCAGGTGTTCACTAAAAATAGCATGCACCTTCACCTTTCCGTATCTATGCTAGAGCATCTTTTTTAAAAAAACTGGTAACTAAAAACTGTTTTAGGCAAGATGCTGGGTTAAGGGCAAAAGTTGAAGAAAATACGGTCACCTTATTTACCAACAAACCTTTTGTTTACAGTATGGCTTTGATACAGTGAAAAATGAAAATTTTAAAACCTTTTAATTCCTTTTGTTTTTTTCTTTAAGATGAATAAAACATTTTGACATCAGAATAGCAGAACCCAGAGTTAATTGAACACATATATTTTCATTTTGTTTAAAAATGGTTTATACCACACAAAGTAAACATTACTTTGCTCTGGTATTTTGGTATTAAAAAAGAAAAAAGTCCACAATATCTTCCAAGTTTCCCATAAGACCAAACTGAAACACTTTTAGAACAAAAAAAGCTAACTCTAGAAAATATTTAGCTATTTCTTTTCCCTCTTTTCCACAGGCTTAGATTAGCAAGAACAATATATTTTAACATTTCATTAACTTTTTGATGCCACTCAAGGAGCCCTCATTTGGCCTCCAATGTGGTGTATTTGGCAGTAATTAGATTAAATGGCAATTTAGTAGTCCAAAATGGTACATGCTAACTTTCCTAGAGTCAGCTAATGTTTTAAAAATAATTTCTTTTGTACATAGAAAGTTAATTTCTACTAGGATATGACTCACAGGTTACTGTTTTCTTGTTTGATTATTTTTTATGTATTTCATTTCTATTAAAAAAAGGAAGACAGTAACTATCTGTTGTGACACAGCACCCAAATTCTTTGATAGTATTTCTAACAAGAGGCAGGGTCTTTGTCCTCTCCCCTTGAATCTGAGCTCCATGACTGCTTGACTGACAAAATACAGAAGGGACACTGTGCCCATTTCTGATGCTTTCACTCCATATCTCTTGGAACACGGCCACCATGCTGTGAGGAAGGCGAACATCCCTAGCTGACACTGTGTAGTATAAACAAGCAGAGACACTAAGCTCTACCTAAATTGCAGAGATGTGAATAAAATCAACAATTATTACTCAAAGCCAATCAGCTCTGCAGTGGTTATTTATGCAGCAATAGATCATCAGAACAATATCCTAACATTAGGGTTGTAAGGATTATCATCACCAAATAGTATTAAACCAAAATCAAACCCGTTGCCATCAGGTTGATTCCGACTCATGGCAACTCTATAGGACAGAGTAGAACTGCCCCATAGGGTTTCCAAGGAGCAGCTGGTGGATTCGAACTGGCGACCTTTTGGTTAGTGCCAAGCTCTTAACCACTGCATCACAAGGGCTCCACAAATTATAGGGACCTTAAAAAACTCAAAATAATTCTTGAATTCCAGAATCCTACTGTTCCCTTCCCCTTGCTAATAGTTCAATTCTTTGTAGGCCTAGTTATAAAAAATATTGGAATCTCAGCAATAAGAGATGGTAGAAGGAAAACGAGTCTGGGAACTAACCCAGTTAGCCATGGGTATTCACAAGGGACCCAATCTGAGCAAGTATTGATATCTACACAGGTCTAATTTGATGGTTGATGTCCACCAGCAGTGGCCTTCAACAGCGGTCCAGCCAGTAGAGTTTTGGAAAAGGGAAAAATAAAAAGCGCTAAGGAGAGGAAGACTGCAACATAGGGGATACGTGTGTGGCCAGGGCTTACCCGGAGCCCTGTTGGTGCAATGGTTAAGCATTTGGCTGCTAACCAAAAGGTCCAGCAGTTTGAATCCAGCAGGTGCTCCTTGGAAACCCTATGGGGCAGTTCTACTCTGTCCTATAGGGTCACTGTGAGCTGGAATTAACTCGATGGTAACGGGTTTATTTATTTATTTATTTTGGTTTAGGGATTACCCTAAGGCACAACAGATGTCAGATCTAAAATAAATGAAATTTTACCATTTGGAAGGTCTGAGTCTACTGACAGACAAATACACCAGTTCCGGGGCTGGGTAAGGCAGAGGAAGGCAGGAACTGACAATTTCTTTAAACTGAAGTTTTGAATCTCCTGTTTTTCTGTGATTCTTTCATTATAACCTCTACAGAGTAGTTCATTAATTTAGCAAATATTTTTCAAGCTTTTATTATATGGCAAGCCCTGATCAAGGTGCTGAGACACAGTGGAGAACAACAGAGATGCTTATATTCTAGCGAAGGGAGTTCAACAATAAACAATTAAATAATCAAGTATATATATCAGACAGTGATAAAAGACATGAAGGGAATTCAAATAGAGTGATACGGTTGAAACCGACTAGGTGAATAGTGTAGATTATATTAGGTAGTCAGGGAAAGCCTCATTGAGCAGGTAACGTTTAAACTGATACCTGAAAAGCAAGAAGCCAGCCTTGAGAAGACAAGAGAAAAAGCATTCCATACAAAAGGAACTGCTGATGCAAAAGTCATTAGGTGAAAAGGAACTAGGGGTATTTGAGGAATATGATTATAATTATATATATTTAATCTCATCACTTGTTGTTATTGTTCTTGTCAGTTGCCGTCAAGTCATTTCTGACTCATTGGTGACTCCATGTGGGCAGAGTAGAACTGCTCCATAGGGTTTTCAAGGCTCTGCCCTTTAGGAAGCAGATCATCAGGTCTGTCTTCTGGGGTGCCTCTGGGTGGGTTCAAACCACTAACATTTCAGCTAGTAGCTGAGCACTTAATCATTCGTGCCACATTGAATGGATATTCTTATTTGCTGGTATCAGCACTACTAAATGATTATTTGTACTAAGCATGTTTATTTATTATTTCAGTTCTTTTTCATAACAGCTCAGTGAGGTTGGTATTCTTAGTCCATTTTCAGATTAATAAAGTTAAGCAAAAACAAACAAAACATGAGGTAACTTGCCTTGTTCACATAGTTACTACATGGTGGAGCCAGGATTTGAATCCTGACAGTCTCACTCCAGGGCCTGTGCTCTTATCTGTCTTCCCAAGAACTTTCAAAAATTTTATCATGAATTCTTATCAGTAAACCTTTTTTTAAAAGGACTCAAATACATACAATACTATCAATTTGTCTATTAAATATTAGTAAAGTTTACTATCTTTTAAAGAAAAGAATACACAGAATTTTTACTTACTCTAGTAGGCACTATGCTGCCTCCAAGGTCCCTGGGTGGCGCAGACAGTTTGTGCTCAACTACTAACCTGAAGGTTGGCAGTCTGAACCCACCCAATGACACTACGGAAGAAAGTCCTGGCAGTCTGCTTACATAAAGATTGCAGCCAAGAAAACCTTACGGAGCAGTTCTACTCTGTAACACATGGAGTTGCCATGAATCAGAATTGACTCGAGGGCAACAGGTTTGGTTTGGTTTTGGATGCTTCCTTCCCTGCATAGTACAGGTATACATAATGTGTTTCATCTGCATTTCTGACACCAGAGAAATCTTCAGCATTATTGAAAAATCATTTTTCTATATTTTGATAATATATTTAATTCCAGTCTCAAAATCACCATGACAGACATGCTAAAGTCTATTTTTCAGGGAAATGTCATGCAGTGGAAGTGCTGGAGTTGAAGTAAAAAAGAAAGCTATTTGGGACATATCGTGGTGGTGGATATACGTCCAGGACAAGTGCTCATTTGGCCACAGCCAAAGTTCAATAAATACTAATATTTCTGTGTCATCACATCTAAATTTAGACTTTTAAATTCAAAAGTAATAGTCAATAGCTGATTAAAAACTATAGAGTACGGGCATGCACAAACACACAAATGTAAACCCATCCAATCAAACAAACAAACAAAATAATCACAGTCTTGACACTTACTTATCAAAGGAATATTTCTAGATTCAAATGATCATTAAATAGAATTTTCAGAAACCCAGAAGTACTTAGAACTAAATTGGAAGTAAATTAACTGAAAAAACTAACTCAGGATGGGTAAATTTTTCTCACCAGAGAGGTGTATCTAAATTCTCTCTCAGCATTCTCATAGTTTAAAATACCATATCTATTCCAATGACACCCAAATCTATAGTTCAGCTAACACTACACTCTGGAACTCCAGATCTAGATCAGATTTTCCAGTTGCATCCTTGGTATGTTTGTCTATGTCCTTTAGGGACCTCAAACCAAACATGTCCATAAACTGAATTCATTTATCTTCCACCATGAAACTTGTTTCTTTTCTGGTATCTACTTGCTAATGGTACCATCATCCATTCATCATCATTGTCTCCAACAAAAGGCATATATATTCTTAGTTCATACTCTTATTATTTCTCACTTTTATTACTGCAACAGCTCTCTAATTGAACATTCTGTCCTATATTCTCACCTGTTCATGTCCATTCTTTCAAAAATGCAAATGTGTTCATGCTACTTCCCTTTTTAAAAGTCTTCAATGGCTCCCCACTGCTGACAGGATAGATTTTTAACACTGTGACTTCATTGTCTCATCCAACTCATTTCCTGCCACTGTTTTGCTCCCATCCGCTCACCATTCTCTGGTTAGATAAAACTACCAGTTATTTTCCAAACACATCATGCTCTGTCACCTTTATAAGGTTTTAAACATGGTAATTCTTTTGCTGTGAATACCACTAACCCAGAAATTTCAAATTGTTTATGGAACACAAATCCCTCAAGATAGTTAAGGGACATTGGTGGAAAATAAAAAGTGGGTTCCACCATTAGATAGCTTTGGAAAATTCATATATTACCCCATTTCTAGAGAATCACAATGTTCATTAGTATAGAAAAGCCTCTAAGGAGTCTAATAGTATAGAAACTGGTTTAATTTAGATTAACAGTGTTTCTCAAAATTACTTGATGACTAAATTCTTTGCTATCTAATTCACTTTAGGAACTATTTTTAGCAGCTCTTTAGGAAAAATTGCTTTATCCTACCTCATTGCCTAAAAATGTCTATTCATCCTTCAAAATCTAGTTCCAGTGAATACAGTGAGTCAACAAAGATACAGACAATATTCTTTAGACTACAAACCCTTCCATCTCAGGGCAACGGTATTTTCCAGGGACTTCCAGAAATTACTTAACACACAAGACCCAATCCCTTGGTAGTTAGGCTCAAGTCACTGAATCAGCAATAAAAAGGAACAAAAGATGTCAAAAAAAATTTTTTTCTTGAAATTGGGAGCTTTAAAAGCTGTATTTAGAAGCTCAAAGACTTTGGCTATTGTCATATGTCTCTTTGAATATTAATTCAGAAAACAAAATGACATGTTAATGCAAACTTTTTGCAGTATTCTGACAACAGAGTCATAAGCTGTGTTTCCTACAGTTAAAACTGATGCATTGTTTAATTATATATTGAAACAGCTAATTGCTTATGAGAACTCTTGAGGATGATGCAAGAGTTAACATTTCTGGATACACAATTGTCATGGATTGAATTGTGTCCTCCCAAAATATATGTCAACTTGGTTAGGCCATGATTCCCAGTACTCCGTGATTGTCCTCCATTTTGTGATTTTCCTATGTGTTATAAATCATAATCTGTATCTGTAGTTAAAGAGGATTAGGGTGGGAAATTAAGACTAGGGTGATCCAATGTAAAGGGAGTTTCCCTGGGGTGTGGCCTGCACCACCTTTTATCTTACAAGAGATAAAAGAAAAGGGAAGCAAGCAGAGAGTTGGGGACTTTAGACCACCAAGAAAGCAGTGCCAGGAGCAGAGCGCATCCTTGGGACCCGAGGTACCTGTGCAGAGAAGCTCCTAGTCCGGGGGAAGATTGATGAGAAGGCCGACAGAGAGAGAAAGTCTTCCCCTGGAGCTGAAGCCCTGAATTTGGACTTTTAGCCTACTTTACTGTGAGGAAATAAACTTCTGTTTGTTAAAGCCATCCACTTGTGGTATTTCAGTTATAGGAGCACTAGATAACTAAGACACCAATGAAATATATAACATAAACATGAAAAAATTCTCCCTAGTTAGAGATCGGAACTCTTATGCACTGCTGGTGGGAATGCAAAACGATACAACCATTTTGGAAAATGATATGGCGCTTCCTCAGAAAGCTAGAAAAAGACATACCATTCGATCCAGCAATCCCACTCCTAAGAACATATCCTAGAGAAATAAAAGTCGTCACTCGAATAGACATATGCACACCTATGTTCATGGCAGCATTGTTCACAATAGCAAAACGATGGAAACAACCTAGATGCCCATCAACAGATGAATGGATAAACAAACTACGGTACATACACACAATGGAGTACTAAGCAATGATAAAGAACAATGACAAATCTGTGAAGCATCTCATAACGCGGATGAAACTGGAGGACATTATGCTGAGTGAACTAAGTCAATCACAAAAGGACAAATATTGTATGAGACCTCTATTGTAAAAACCCATGAAAAAGTTCACACACAAAATGTAACAATCTTTGTTGGTTACCAGGGATGGGAGGGGTGGGGGGAAATAGTAAATAGGCAATAGATAAGTGGTATCTTGGGTGAAGGGTGAGACAGTACACAATACAGGGGAAACCAGCACAATTTGTACAAGGAAAGGTCATGAAAGCTTCATGGACACATCCGGACTCCCTGAAGGACTGAATTGCTGGGTGGAGGGCTGTGGGGACCATGGTCTCGGGGAACATCTAGCTCAATTGGCATAACACAGTTTATGAAGACAATGTTCTACATTCTGCCTTGGTGAGTAGTGTCTGGGGTCTTAAAAGCCTGTGAGCAGCCATCTAAGATACTCCACTGGTCTCATCCCTTCAGGAGCAAGGGAGAATGAAGAGAACAGGATATAAGGAAAAGATTAGTCTGAAGGACTAATGGACCACAGCTACCAAGGCCTTCACCAGACTGAGTCCAGTACAGCTAGATGGTGCCCGGCTACCACCACTCACTGCTCTGACCGGGATCACAACAGATGGTTGTGGACAGAGCTGGAGAAGGATGTAGAACAAAATTCTAACTCACAAAAAAAAAGACCAGATTTACTGGCCTAAAGGAGACTGGAGAAACCCCAAGAGTATGGCTCCCAGACACCCTTTCAGCTCAGTGGTGAAGTCATTTCCGAGGTTCACCATTCAGCCGGGGAGTGGACAACCCCGTAAAACCAAATGGGACTAATGAGGCACAGCAGTCCAGGGACAAGGGCCAGAAGGCAGAAGGGGACAGGAAAGCTGGTGATAGGGAACCCAAGGTTGAGTAAGGATAGTGTTGATGTGTTGTGAGGTTGTTAACCATAGTCATAGGGCAACATGTATACTAACTGTTAAATGAGAAACTTTTGTTCTGTAAGCCTTCTTCTAAAGTGAGAATAGCAGCACAATTGGAAGAGTGTAGTCGATGTCACTGAACTGTGCATATAGAAATTTTTGAAATGGTTTATCTTTGGTTATGTATGTTTTCACCAAAAAAAAAAAATAAAAGTTCAAGAAAGGAGAGGGTTGGCATGTTGTGGGGTTGTTTACCAATGTCATAAAACAATATGTGTACTACTATTTCATGAGAAACTATTTGTTCTGTAAGCCTTCACCTGAAGTACGATTAAAAAAAGAAAAAATTCTCCCTAGTTAGGTGGACAAGGAACAGCCCTAAAATGTATCATCTGATGTTAGAGATACAGACATGGTAGCATGAGGGCATTTGTGAGTAACAACCACCCATCCACACAGCCACAAAATGGCATAGGAATTTCTTCTCACTTTAAAACAAGGACGTATATCTTGGTCACTTCCAAGAACTGCTAAAACTAGATGTGAGGCCTTATGTTATATTCCCTCACATTACTTAAATGCACAGAAAAACAAAACATATAGAACAAAAAATACCAGAGAGAAAAATGGTTAGTCAAAATTTCTACACTGAGTTTACTCTAATTTTATAAATATATGATTACTTTTACTTCCAAGCTAATAAAAAGAGCCCAGAATTTTCTCCCTTCACTAGCTAATAGAAACAAGACTTGGGGTCCCTGGGTGGTGCAACAGTTAAGCGGTTGACTACTAACCAAAAGGTTGGCAGTTAGAACCCACCCAGAGGTGCTTCAGAAGATAGGCCTGGCAATGCAATCTGCTTCTGAAAGGTCACAACCTTGAAAACCCTATGGAGCAGTTCTACTCTGTACACACGGGGTCGCCATGAGTCGGAATCAACTCTATGGCAACTAACAACAACAAACTTCCAGAGGATTATGTAGGACATTAAAATAAATAAAAAGAGTTGTCCTGATGTATTTTAAAATTCATAAATGGATGATTTAGTAAAAGATCGTGTGCTTTTATTTATAATAAAAGAAATAACACTAGCTTACCACATGAGAATTTTGTCCAAACACTGAGAAAAACATATTAGGAATGCATAATCCATTAATTTATGCAACCTACAAACAGAAACACAATTTCTTTGCTAAAATATACTTTGAAAAATTGTAAACAATGTTTCAAGAGGAGAGAAGAACAGTTATAAAATTAAAACTTTCATTGGAGGTAGGGAAAAAAAGATTTTCTTTCCATCATTAACAGAAGAGTAGAAGGAATCCCAACAGTCAATTCAACAAATATTTCTTAGGTACCCATATGCACTAGGCACTGTGTAAGCACTGGGGATACAGTAGTCCTTGCTGCCACAGAGCGCACTTTATGTGGGGGTAGACAGATGATACACACAAACAAACATAAACACTATCAGGGGCTAAGAAGAAAAATAAAAAGAGAAGGGGACAAAGAGTAGAGGGGAGGATACTTATTTCAGATAGGATGATCCAAAAGGGCCTCTCTGATAAGGTGGCATTTGAGATTTGAATGAAACAAGGGAATGAAGTATATGGATTATCTGGGAGAAGAGTTTTCAAGACAAAGAGAATAACAAGTATAGTTACTGAGTAAGAAACTGGGAGAACAGAAGATCAAAAAAGTAGCCAGGGGGCAGAGTACATAAGATTTTACAATTTAAGGAAGAACTTTGGGTTTTATTTTGAATTTGATCAGTTTTGTGACATTATTTGATTTATATTTCAAAAGGATTTTTAAAGGAAGCAAAGGTAGAAGCAGGGAGAAGCAGGTAGAAGCATGACTGCCATAGTCCAGGCCAGACATGATGGTTGCCTGGGCTAACATTGTAGCAATGGAGGTGATGAGACATGACTGGGTTTGGTATATATTTTATAAATAGAGCTGACAGAATTTGCTCATGGATTGGATGTGGAGGGTAAACAAAAGAAAGGAATCAAGGATGACTCAAGAGTTTTTGGCTTGAGCAATTAGAAGAATTGAACTGCCATATATTGAGATGTAGTAGAGGTCTGAAGAGAAAGCCCTGAGGTTTTTCAATGTTTTTGGAAGTTGAAGAACTAGCAAAGGAGACTGATATGGAATCATTCTATTGGTTTCTTAGAGGCCAAGTAAAGAAAGTATTCCAAGGAGAAGAGAATGATTACTTCTGTCAAATACAGATGATACATCAAGTAAAATACGGACTGAGACTTGTCCATTATTTAGTAAACGGAAGTCATCAGTGACCTCAACACCAGCAGTTGTGTTGAAATGTTGGAGCAGAAGCCTCATCTAACTAATACACATAGAAGGCATAATAGAAATAGAAATCACCATTTTATAATGACCACAGTAATAATTGATTTGGGTAGGTATCATCAATGAATGCCAAAACCATTGGTGAAATACTGTTGGGGAACAAGACAGTCTCAAAGTAGTTCCCCAGAGATTACTTATTATTCCAAAGGGAAACAAATATCTTTATAATAGAGAAATCTGACAAAGTCTTAAATGATCAAACTTAACACTAACAATGCACCAAACTGATATCTTGTGCCCACTGATGTGATGCACTCAGAGGGGATACACCATCAGCTATGCAGTATTATTGCCAAAAATGTGTGGGAGTCATTCTATTGTAGATTTACCAATAGTTTGTTTTTGTGGTTAGTTGCCATCAAGTTGATTCCAACTCATGGCGACCCCACGTGTTACAGAGTAGAACTGCTCCATTGGGTTTTCTTGGCTGTAATCTTAACGGAAGCAGATCACCAGGCCTTTTCTTCAGCAGTATCACTGAGTGGGTTGAACTGTCAACCTTTAGGTTAGCAATCAGCACCACCTACGGACCTGCCAATAGTTTAGCTTTATCTAATAGAGAAAACCATTAGATAAATTTAAATTGAGGAAATAACTGGCTTAGATTCTTAAAAAATATCCATGTCATAAAAGACAAAAAAAATTTAAAAGGTCAAGAACTGTTCTAGATTAAACGAGACTGTTAGGGATTGAATTGTGTCCTTCAAAAAGATATTTTGAAGTCCTGACTCCTGTACCTGTGAATATGACTTT